GTAAGTGCAAAGATAACGAACAAACTGAGCGAGTCCAGGCTGAGATGGTACGGTCACGTAATGCGTAGAACCGAGGATCATGTCGTCAGGAAGTGCCTTCATATGGCTACTATAAGGAGGGGAAGAGGAAGACCTCAGACCACCTCGCTGACGAATGTCCAGAGGGCCATGAAGGAACTGGGTATGAGGGAAGAGGACGCACAGCGACGGACCACGTGGCGTCACATGATTGGAAAAGCCGACCCCGTGTAGCGGGAAAAGAAGAAGATTCAGTAAATAGTAATTGTTTTCACTTTTAGAATTTGTGATGTCCACATTTTCACAATTGTATTTTTATTTTGTTCAGTTCGTAAGATATTATTAGGTAATGAATTTACACACGAACAGTATTACAACAGCGGTAGATGTTATTTGGTGTGCCATGGTTGTCTATTACGTACCTAGTAACCAAAAACCTGTTGTATGTTTACGTCGATGTGGCTAGTTTTATTAAAACAATATTTTATATTTTGGTTACATTTACATTAACTTATATGTTAGATGGAAACTTATACTCTCCGTATGGTGACGGATTAAGTATACAGAGTGTCAATACCTACCCCTATTCATCCCGTGGGTGTCCTAAGAGCCGACTGTGGGAGCAAACTACGCAGGATAACCGCACTGCAAAGAGAAGGAAAACTTGAAACAAACCATATGCCAACCCGTCAGGCCAGCGTGGTATATTAGGCCAAAACTTCCTTTCTAAGGAGAGGCCTATGTTTAGCAGTGGCCGCGGCTGTTGATAATACGTAAGGAACTAACTAAATTAGGATATAAAATAATCTTAGTTAGTAAAGATAGTAGTAGTGGTTTTCTACATATATACGAGCTAAATTCAACATCATGTACAAGAATATTATGAACCTAATCGATTTCGATTAGTTTATGAAATACGGATAGAAAAAACGCATTAATGCGTAGGTACATTGATAAAAAATGCAGTGACATCTATACAACAAAAAACTCTAGAAACTTGAACTGCTTCTACTTCTTGAATCTTGTGTTGGCATTTTATACCTGCATATACATCTAATCAGACGACTAAAGCTAACGCAGCTGACGATCGAAGCTAACTCATTAAGTTTACATTATACTTGAACTAATTATAGAACAAATTACATATGGTGCCTACATAGTTTTAATCAATTGTAATCTACGACGCACAAACCGTGTTCGCGATATTACGCAACAAGTAACCCAGTTTACCTCCATCCTCGAGAATAAAGTGTTTCACCAGTACATACATACATGGCTTTCGAATAAAGCCACAACGTACGTTCCCAAGCCTGTGTGTGGAGCATAACCGCTTATCAAGACCGTGCCATTATCAATACTTTAATATTATATTTATCGAGAATGTTATAAAGTCTGTACTAATTCAAACTATGCATGGAACCTACTTATAAATACCTAGTGTTATTTTGCAATGTACATATTAATTATATGTATATAAAGACACGTTTAATTTTATCCATTGCTTTCATTGTTGATCTCATAACTCGGCTTTGTTGATGACATACTTATGCTAATAGATTTCAAAACAATACACGCAACTTGAGATATTACGGGTATAAGTAAAACTGAGTTTATTGAACTCATATTTTTAAAAACATCTGTATTTAAAAAAATATTACTAACTTTAGAATTTAATTACGTCTTACACTACTTAATTAATGTAACTAGTAAAAACATTCGAAAACAAAAGCTTTATACCACATAATATTGCAACCAACACATAGTAGGAATAGTCAATTTACTATGTCAATTACCTAAGCAAGCTGCCTTAGTCGTTGCATTGATAGTGCAACACAGCAGGTCAGCGCCTTGGGGGCCTAGTTCGCCGTAAAAAATAAAACTAAAAGCTATTTTTTAATCGTACTTGTATATTAAAAATTAACTGAGTACCTACCGATTGTATTGAATTATATAACTGGAAAGGAGCGAGTAAAATAAACTACCTACATAGAATGGAGTAGTACCTACGTGTCGTAAATTGTCGTAAGTTCATGAAGTGTGCGGATTTCATGCTATGATGTTTCAAATATTGTTCATCTAAAACCCTGTTAGTCTAAGATGACGGATCTTAGACTAACAGGGTTTTAGATGAACAATATTTGCAATAATGCAGAATTAGTACACTCATCGAGTGTTTAAAAACCAAATTTTTACGCACATTTATGATTAGAAGAATATATGTCTATCAGGTTGCCTACTAAAATGTGACCGCTAGTATTTTTAATTAAATTATTGTTAATTGATTTTTCGGAAAAAAAATCATTCACTTGTTTCTTAAATAAGATATCGTCCACTTCATGGCAATATAATAGACTGAAAAATCACGGTTGCCTTTGCGCACTTGGTCGCACCTCTTCGCAGCCGTTATACGTTATTTTCTTTTCATTATACGTTCATAACGTACTTTTATTATTTATATATCAAATAAAAGCTATTTTTTTCTGTGTAATATAATAAACGGTTGCTTAATTAGTGTAATATATAATATTTGCCAGCGGACCCGACAGATGTTGGTCTGTACACATGTTTTAAACTAAAAAATCATTTTGTAGTGGACCGAATTGTGAGTTTAAACCATTCACCAAACCACTTGAACATACCCAAAAAAAATAAAACTTCTAAACGGTTGGCAGTCCAACCGTTTAGGAGCAGTTCAGTCACATACACAAGCACAGAAGAATTATAAATATAAAGATACATAAATACAAACATATAATAGGTATTATCTTCAGTATCAGAGTTTATAACGTTATTCACGAATATATACACTCAAATGTTAAAAACGTTGCAATTCTAATTACACAATTACAATTGTATATCGGTGAAGCTATAATTTTCATAAATAATTTCTAACATAATTTGCGATGAAATACTACGTTAACGCTCTTAGAAAGCATGTTTACAAATCTAGTCGGCTACTTAGAACTTATATTTTTTTAGGTTGGATAAATTTTGACTGTGCCCCGAGGTTTCAAACGAGTAAAATTTCATTATAAATTTCCAAATTAAATAACTTGATGGGTGGAGAGTCAGATCGATAAATAAAACGCTTCTCTACCATAAAAAATCCCATACCGATGCAAGTTATGGATTGTTCTAACAAATCTTTAAAAAAACCATTTCTTCATTCTTTTACGAGTTCTCAAAAGTTCTTTACATTGTCCCGGACACTTGCGCTTACACTGACTTTCCTACATCGATGCTATTTCGTCATTTTTTGACATCATCTTCAGTTTTGCCTTCATTGTTCTAGTAAATCATCAATCGCTAATATACTCTTCTAGGGTTCTTCTTTTTTTCTAGCTTTGTGTATCATATGTCTATGATACAATATTAAAATAGCACAATTGAGGCCCCGAGGGCCTCAATTGTGCTATTTTAATATTGTATCAATAGACTGTCGATGGAATGTCATCGGAATAGTTTTGCACTTGTCTTATTCTCCTATGTAAGATCAATGGCCTCCCGATGACTTGTCACTGATACAAATGTCGTCGATGTCTTTGTAATAGTGTGGTAAACGATACATTTTAAATTTGTAAGAAAATGGTATATTTAATTTTCATGATATGGCAATGTTGTTGATATCACCATTGATGACATATATTACTATATTGACAGTCTTTTAACACTGTGAATTTATGTTAGTAGAATACCGATATTTTGACCGATTTCAGTGGCATCTTAATAGCGTGTTAATGGAATGACAGAGGCATGGCGTTAACATAAAATAGCAGAATTGAGGCCCTGGCAGTGTGGTATAAACCGCTACAAGTTTATGAGTTATTTTTATGGCTTAGGGAGCAAATGAGACCTGATCCGTCGCCCATGCACACCTGTAACTCAAGTCACAAACACGTTTCCCCCTTCCCCAGAATCAAGGGGACGGGAGGTTTGGACTCCAGTAACTTTACTCACTCGGTCTTCTTCGTCGTATCGACGTTTGTACACCCTTAAATTTTGTCCGCCCCAAATTCATTCGCCCAAAAGGCATTGACCGTTACTCTCCACAGCTCCTCTACAGTGCAGCTGGAGGGGCACAGTGGACAAGAAAGCAAATGTGGCATGGTTTGCATCGAAGAGCCTCATTCACGTCATTCATGTTGCTCTTGCAACGACCAACCTGAAAACCTTGAAAAGCAAAAGAGATTGCTTAACACCGGCTTTCACGCATTAGACGCCACTCTTTCTCTCTCTCTCTCACGAGACTCTCACGCTGATTCATAAAATCACTGAAAATTATCAAAGTAATTTTATTCTCAATATTCCTACAAAATAATTTCGATGTTTCACAATTACTGCCAAACGTCCCGCGACGGCTCAATTTTTTATTATTGGTATAGAACCTCGGCAAACCAAATAGATGTAGTTTTTTACAACGACTAAACCACATTTTCTTCCACAAAAGGGGAAAATTTCGCCTTGAATAAGTCATAGCCACAAAATGAAATTTTTAATAATATTAAGGCATCATTTGTTTTCAAGTGTCGTCATATGTATGTAATGAGTTTTATTTTTGAAAATCATTAGTACAGGATTAAATGAAACAATTGATAGATTAATGTGCGGTTATAATATTATAAAATACTTTCAGCCTATTGAACATAATCCTATGGGTTCTAACCGATATTTACATAGAAATATGAAAGGCGGGAGGACATTACAAACCTAGAAATGAAAATCCACAGGATCCCTAGCCTGTCGACTCCCAACTTACACTGGTATACTTATTATGCGAAATTATTAACTTAATAACAGTCAATATAGGCTCGCGTGCTGAGATTAATCATGCTGACCAGGTCCCGAGCTGGTGCATGCCTTTTTATACTCTTTCGAGTTCACAGAAAGTCCTAACGTCGAATTTAGTGATTTTTATCACATCCATACACATTAAGTTTTGATCACATAAAGAATATTACACTCGCCCCAGCCCTCAACGGCGACTAATCGTCGTGCGGTCGTGGCTCGGGAAACCCGCGAGCCGACAGCGGGTCGGGCGCGGGTGACGCGTGCGGAGCGGGCGAAGCGGCCGGCGAAGCCGCGGGAGACGCGCTGCCCAGTGGCGACGGCAGCGTGGCGTACACCGTGGGCCGCGGGGGCTGATAGGACGGCGCGTACGAGTCGCTGCGAGGGTTGTAGAAAGGCGAGTCGTCGGCGCAACAGTCCAGGTTGGGCGAGTAAGGCGTGGCCGCTCCGCACGAGGGAGCATCGTCGCTCGGCCGGTACGCGGGAGCGGTCGGCGCGTACACGGTACGGCGCGGCAACTCCGCTTCGGGGCGGTGGTGAGATGACGGTGCATATGCATCCGACCACCGAGCCTTGCTCGGGGTAAAATCGCCTTTCACGTACAACTGGATCGGTCGCCGAAACCCTTTACTAGCGTGTTGCGGCACTCCGAGAATGCAACATTTGCTGAAGCCGACCTCGGGCGACAATAGATACTCGCGAAACTTATTCGGAAACATCTCGATTGAATTGAAGTTTTCATATATTGTTGGCTGAAATAAATAACATATTTTTTTTAAATCTGTAACTGATACAACTAAATTTCAAAATCAAAAAGCAGTATAACTATACATATAATGCAAAACAAATACATACCGTTAGACGCTTCTTCTTCTTATAACTAGCCCAATTCTGTGCTTCAAGCACTAGCTTCCCACCAGGACGCAGGTCAGCGAACATTCGACGAAAAGCACGTTTTAAGCCAGTATCACCCCAGTTCAAATGCATCCACTTTGTGGTAGATAAGCACAGAATCAGATCGAACTGGGGGCTTTCAGCTCCACTGCCCACTGCTACCTCTTCCCGTGGTACATAATTGCCCTTAAAATGATTAATTACTCTTATTAATAAAAAAATACCATATTATAATTACTATTAAATGTTTTTTGGAATGCTAAACAACATTTGGAAAAAGAGGCTAGGTTTCATGTGTAGGTATTTCATAAGATTAACATTGCTAGCCATTATGTAATAAAGGGCACTAGTCATCATTACTGAGCTCTAACAACACCCACACAATATGATGATAATATCTATTTTTAGATAACAGTATAAAATGTTGAACCTTCATATGACATACCTGTTTAAAAGTCACATTGTAAGGGAATGCAGGTGGTTTAACATCAGCAGTTGAATCACCAAGTGGTCCATACAACATAGACATAGACATCGGAAAGAAACATTGCCCTCCTTCTTGTTTATGTACTGCCTTCCTATTCTTCCGTGGCTTTTTCAGCTTCCTTCCAGCCAACATTTTTTTTGAATCCTCTGTTTTATCTTGCTTTTCAATGCACACATCACACTTATCCTCCTTACACTGACTACAAACTCTTTCTACTTTCTTCTCATCTTCTAAATCTGTTTTCTTATCTTCATCTCTCTTTGGTTCTGATGGAACTGGAATGAATGACCTTAGATTTTTCCTTGCTCTGCCTGTAACAGATGGGAGGTTGAAATTATTAATAAGTTTAAAGAATCAGTAAACATTAGCACAGCTACCATCTTTTGGAAACATTGATTAACATAAACAAACAGTTATGAAACTAACATGAGATTGCAAGCAACTGTTTTTAAATTTAAGCAAGTAACAGTTTGTTCAAGGACAAATTATCTTTAGTTAAATTTAAATAAATTTACAATATACTATTAAGAAAACTATGATAATGTTCTATGTTGCTCCTTAATGGAATTTTTTACCAACTAGATAATGATGGATCCTGATGGACATTTCATGAAAAGATTATAAAGATGTGTAAAGACAAGCCTGAAGTAACTTTTAACTTCTGTAGAGTTAACATATTTACAATCAGTAATAATATCCATTTAACATTGTCTAGGATTACCCCCTGGCACTTAAATAATCTTACAAATGTCAAATATTTCAACACAGGACTGTTTTTAAATACACCTCGGCTAATTATTTCATGGTATAAAGCAAAACATTTCATAGATTATTATCATCTTACATACCTATCAAAACAGGATCAATATCCATGCCAACAACAGATCGGGCCCCCAGTTCTCGTGCCACTGCTACAGAAATATGGCCCACATTGCAACCAATGTCCAAGACATCCTTATTTTGAAATAGATGACGATGCATCTCGAACACCTGGAGTCTTATGTCCATCATAGCATTTAAGTTTCGGTAACCATAATACCTGGAATGACAAAACATTTATTTTAATAGTAAACCCCTTTATAATTAGGTAGTTTTAGAGTGCATGATGTACCTATGACTTTTTTATTACTTTTGTACCACTCATGTTTCAGTTTATCAATTACCTATAAGTTTCTTGTACAATAAAGAACTAAACTTAATTTGTATGTTAATTTTTTATGGAAATACTTGCTAACTAAATAATAGGTATTTTACATCAAAAATTATTTGTGATATTCCACTATTCTTGGGCTATACATATTTAATAACAGTTTGGTTTAAATACCTGTCATAATTTCCATATTGATATCTTGAATTCTTGGGATGGAAAGTAGGCAACTTCTGCTCCTCATCAGTCTTGGATTTAGTACGGTGAGGAGATACAGGCCGTTCCGGCGGAGCTGTACGTTGCTGTGGCCTCGCTCGCATCCAAGCTCCAGGTTGGGGTACAACTGGGCTCACAATTTTATCTAGAGAATCCATACGCCTTAACTTTTTAGGATCTTTGCCTTTTTGTGATGTATTGTCACTATCACTACAAGACCTTTTGCGTGATTTACATGCTGATGTTGAAGGTTCAGGTGGTGCAGGCTCTTTTATACCCTCAACAACAGTTACAGGAGTCTCCTCTGGAACATGCACAGGTGATGTGTTGTCTGTAGTACGGCGCCTTAGCCTCGCCTTTTTGCGCGGTTTGCGTTGCTGTATCTCTAACCTCTTTTCATACTCTTCATTGTCCAAAGGCTCCATTAAATTAAGAGGATCCCTTATGTTAGGAGGTATTATAACATCAATCTTAGCTTTATGCCGTGGCGGAGTCGGCAATGGTGACGACTCCGGAGTTACAGCATTCATAGCTCTGTTAATATCTTCATCTTGTAAACTGTTCAGATTAAGTGGATCTGATATATTTCCACCAAGCAAAAATTTTGTAGGTGGAATAAAAACTTCTTTACGCGGTCTTTTGTGAGGCAAGAAAAACTTCGAAATAGATGGAAAACTTTGTGCTCTTTTTCTGCCTTGCTTAAATTTTGTGCCAATGTAGTTCACTCGTCTCACGACACTCCTATCTGGGTTGTCCTTGGCAGGTGTATGCCCCTTTTTGCCGTGTCGGAATTTCTTTTTAGTCTTCTTAGAATTTCCCACCACAGACCCATCTCCTTCCTTCGTACCACTAACATCGCCAGATTGCAAACCAGTAGCCTCCGTAACATTCACAGACGATTCTGTAGTATCGCCGATTTCATTGTCAGAAATCTCTCCAGCTGTTTCGTTTTCAGTACTGTCTACCACGTTGCTTTCAGTTGTTTTAACACTTTCTTCCGGACTACCCATTACGAACGATTTATTTGTACACTCACTACATTATAAAAAAGTAAATCATTTCAAAGTCAAATTTACCGCCACTTCACTTCTTGCAAAATCTACAAGGACATCCGTCAATGGTGATAAACAGTTTAACAATGCGGTTTGTTTTTAGTATAAGTTGCAAATAGAACTAACACTTTAGTGATGATACAATGTGATCATAGGGTTATAAAAGAATCTTCTACTTTATACTTATAAACAAACAGAAAACAACACACTTTTCTAAATTAAACATCACACTCTTGCAATACCTCGATAGGACAGCAAATGGCAATTTGATTTCAATTGTTTAGGTTTTCGTTTTCCAATTTGTTCCTTTAACCAGAATGACCAAAAAATCTTATTGGTATATATGACGTGAAGTCACCGATTTTAACCAATGGTAAACGACGACACAACACGTTACTGTGTTTCGCTTTCACGAGGAAATGGTGTTGGTGTAGTTTGCAGTTTTCAGTGTTGCCACTAAAAAACACATAAATATAGGCAGAGAGTACACTATTGCACCTATGACTAACTGCACCAGCTATCTGATATGACTAAGGCACATTGTGTTTCAGGGTGCCCGAAATAAAAAAAATGTTTTATTGAGGAGGCTAGAAGTATAATAAATAAATAAAATCAAAATTAAAAAAAAGAGAAACTTATGATTTATATTAATAAATTGTGTTGTGCGTCATTTTTACATTACTTCGTGAACTCCAATCCAATTTCGTTCTTAATAAATAATAAAAAGTACACATTGGGTAAGAAACAATGTATAGTTCTGTAAGTTTATTACTACCCCTTTTAAATAAATAGCTAATATTACTTTATTTTTTTATTTTTACACTCCCTGAAGGTTTTAAAAGACCTATTCAACAATACCCGACAGTATGGTATCACCTCCACTAGACCTAGACGGTTTATACTGGTATAAACTCCGAAAGAAAAGAAAATCAAGATTTTAAATGGTGCTTAAACTACTTGTTTTTGCAACGGAATGAACTGACAGTAGGTGCAGGAGAAAAAACTATTTTATAATTGTTTAATATTTAAAGTAATTGTCTAAAATAGTCTACTACTGAGATTCATTATTTGACAAAACTATATTTTTCTCTGCATTACTTGTAGTGATAGGTACATTACATATACCTTTATAAATTCCTTACAAATCTTCAATCTCAAATCCTCAACTTCAAAAGATGACCCGCACTTTAGTAATAATTAGAACAAAGTAAAACTTTATTATATTCATTTAATTAATTTTAATATAGTTTTATAGAAATAATTTTCACAAAGTAATGAAAATGAATGATGTGGATATATATTTATATATATATGCACTTTTTTAAAGTATTTTTTTTTTAATAAATACCAATGATGATTGAACTATTAAAAGAAGCATTACTCTTAAGTATTGTAAATCCGCTTATTTTTTAATTGGTCATTAGAAAATCAACAATAAATGATTTTTTGGATTGCTAGGCGGGAATGAGCTGAAGGGGCGGAGGATTTTGAGCGGTTCAAATTCCCGCCTAGAATCATGCACTTTTGATTGAGATTGAACATTAAGGTGAAGTGAAAATAGTGAAGTTATCTATCAAAAATTAAGACTTGGCTTAAAGGTCTGGTTACCAGGCCATAAAAACACATAACAAAAAAATAAATGATTTTGGGTAGGTTCCTACCCTAAATAATTTGTTGTTGCATTTCTAATGACCCCGTTTTAACTTTAAACTACACAGTGACAAATTGGCATGATTGTAATAGATTGTAAAATTAAAAGCTCTATTTTTATATGGCAACATGGTCTAAAACCTTTTTTAGAAAGCGTCATAAAATTTAAATTTTGAACTGAAATTATCCGTTGTGGTTTGTGGCTCGTGTTGACAAACGATTGTTTATTACAAGTATTACAACTGACTAAAAGTGTTAATTTTAGATTTTGTAAGTATTGTATTTCAAAAACTGTGACTTTGTTACTATATTGAAGTTGAATGATCGTTTGTTTTGCTATAGTTATCGGCAGTTATTGAAACCATGATAATTAAAATTTAGACTTTAGTATTACATCAGTTCTTTAAAAATTTTCATAGTTTATCGTTCATATTTCAGGAACATTGGTGTACTTACTCTTTTCAATTTTCTATTGCAGTCTTCGTTTAGACAAGGTGAGATGAAATGGATCTTTTCATACTTATTAATTTATAACTAAGGAGTTCAAACATTCATGTATTTTATAAAATTCATTTGTCAAGTTTATTCCTATTACTTATTTCAGATGTCTCGAATACCTAAACTTCCTGTTATGACAGCTACTAAAGAAAACAAACCAAATTTATTAAATCGACGTCCTATACCAAGAACATTAGGTAATGGTTTAAGTGATGCTGACAAAAAAGATTTAATTATCAATCACACCAAACCTGTGGTTCGTAGTGGTCCATCAACAGCCATGCCAGCACAACGTCTTAAGCGATCAGCTACAGCTCCGTCTTCAGTCACCGTAGTACCAAAAGTAAATAAAGTTGAGAAGAAAGTAGTTGTTGCACCAAAAATTGCACCATATGACTATAAAGCTAGATTTAATGACTTATTGGGTAAGCATAAGAACATGAAAAGTGAATTTGAAGACTTGAAAGAAAAGCATATTGAAGTATCTGACAGTTATGAGAAAATCAAGGATTCAGTGCAGAGCACTGTAAACGAAAGAGACAGATTAAAAGAAAATTTATTAAAAACTCTTACAGAGTTGAGAGAAAAGTCGACAGAATTTGACAAACTTACAGTTGACTTGAATATTCAGAAAATTGAAAATGAATCACTTCAGAGAAAAACTGTGCTCCTAGATGAAATAACAAGCAGTTTGAAGCTAAAGACAGCTGAGTTGGATAAACTCCAGTCAGATTATAATGACTTAAGCAGACAACACAAAAGCCTAAAAGAAGAAACTGAAGCACTCAGGGTGCTTACAGATCATTTAAGGAAAATATCTATTGAATTTGAAAAATTACAACTTGATTATAAAGAGGCTCAACAAACTATTGCTCAATATAAATCGGAAGCAGACATTTTAAGAAACATTTTAGACGCTATGCATAAAGAGCAAAGAGAATTGAGAAATACAATTCAAGACTTAAAAGGGAACATCCGTGTGTACTGCAGAATCAGACCTCCATTGGAATCAGAGCTAGGCAAGCCTCTATTTAACCTTAATGTCCTTGATGCATGCTCTATAGAAGTTGAGAAAATAGAATTATTAAATTCTGCCAGAAAAGGTAAATCTCAACATGCCTTTAGTTTTGATGGTATATTTACTCCGCATTCATCGCAGGAAGATGTGTTTGCTGAGGTGTCTACTATGGTTCAGTCAGCACTGGACGGGTACAATGTTTGTATTTTTGCCTATGGTCAAACTGGTTCTGGTAAAACTTATACAATGGAAGGTGGATGTGGAACTGAACAGTATGGCATCATACCAAGAGCATTTAATATGATTTTCACATGTATGGATGAGTTAAAACGAATGGGCTGGGATATAACAGTGAAAGCTTCATTTTTAGAAATATACAATGAAGTTATTTACGATCTACTTAACTCTAGCAAAGATCAAGAAAATCATGAAATCAAAATGGTTAATTCTAAAGGTAGCGATGTATATGTTTCTAATTTAAAGGAGGAGAATGTCAAGAACTCACATGATTTTATCAGGCTGATGATATTTGCCCAACGTAACAGACAAACAGCCGCTACTCTTAATAATGAACGCAGCTCTCGGTCTCATTCAGTGGCTCAAATTAAGATTTCAGCAACACATGAAAAGCGCAAAGAAAAGTATACAAGTAACTTAAATCTGGTGGATCTGGCTGGATCAGAGAGTGGGAAAACCTCACAAAGAATGGATGAGACAAAACACATCAACAGATCATTATCTGAATTGTCTAAAGTTATTTTATCACTTCAGACAAATCAGTCGCACATACCTTACAGAAATTCTAAGTTAACTCACTTGTTGATGCCCAGTCTTGGGGGTAATTCTAAAACCCTTATGTTGGTAAATGTCAATCAATTTGATGAATGTTTTAGTGAGACACTGAACTCCTTACGGTTTGCTACTAAAGTTAACAACTGTAGAGTTGTAAAAGCCAAGAAAAATATAACTATGTTTGACTCTTAATACAATTTTAAATCTATTGACTTGATCATGTATTATAATAGTAATGTAACATAATTTTAAGTATGCTGTTGCTCTGATAATACAGTTTACCTGCTAATTTGTATTGTCCAGATATTTGTTGGTTTTTAGGAAAGCCAAATTAACAATTTATTGATAAGAATTTTAATTTCTGTAAAGCCAGAGCTTTTACTTAGACATGCATCTTATTAATATGACACTATGTTGTATCGCAATTTAATAAATAAATATTATTAAAACAATGATATAATTAACAGTAGCATATATTGTAAACTTTAGAGACTTTTAAATCTTACTTTGTTCTTAATGTTTTAATTTTAGTAGTTTATTTCTTAATTCAAGTTTCAATAAATATCAAGTTATTTTAAATATCAAGACTTAAATGTGTCATTTTCGAACCCACCAGTTTCTTAGGTTTTTTATATTTTAGGGGTGGATTATCCAATTTAATAATTAGATATAACTATATAGCGTTTTACTTATTTAATTTTCAATAGCTGTATGAGGTACAATTATCATGTTCTATTAATTGATATGTAATGTTTATGAATATAATCTACATAGTACATACAATTTTTTACTTAAATTACTTTAATTGGGTAGGTACCTACTTAAGCGAATGATTTTAGGGATTCCCTGTATCTAATGCATATTATGTAAGTTCGTAATTTCAAGATAATAGTAATAACGAAGAGGACTTGTTGGACTGGACTGGACAATGCAATTTTCATCTACTTCAACAGATGGCGCTAATAGTACAAAGAACGAATCATCTTACTGTTAACTTTATATTCTGTTTGCATAAGGAGGTAAAATTGTTGCACTTGTAAATTGCTCTTTTAACAAGCGATGGCGCTACAGTGGGGTGGATTTAGTGGCAAGGATTAAGTATCAAGATTGCCCTAGACAAGCATCTCATTGGGCCCTCCCCCCCTGCGCCTCTCTAGCGCCCATACCATATTTTTAATAGCTATATTCGTTAGAAAGTTCTCACAGATTGGAGTATAGCGATGGGGTCAAAGAAATCCGATTACTAAAATGTCTGATTCGATATCATTCCATAGTATGTACTAATCGAATACAGTTTTACAGATTTATTTATGTTACTATAAAAGCCCGTGTAATGGCACAACATAGGTTTTAGTAGTAAATTTTAGTATACACTAGTGTATACACTTGGACACGAGCGATTTTTGCCTATAAAGATTTATTTAAAATTACATAAACTTACATACTTTTAATTTTAATTAAAATGCGTTTTCGTTGAGATTTGGATGTTAGATGAATTTAAAGTATTATTAAACACTAAGAAGCCTGGACCTAAACCTCCTTTCTAAGGAGAGGCTTATGTCCAGCAGTGGACTATTAAAGGCTGTTGATGATGATGATTGATGAAGAAGCCTGGACTGGAAATTACTCCTTATTAATAAATTTGATTTTACGTACATTTTATCGATTATTCGTATTCGGTTCTTTATTACAAAGGACTTAACTACGTGACTTTGAAATGAAGTTTGACCAAAAAAACATCTATTGTGTATAAATTGGTTATTTTGCTTTATTTCAAAGTTTTAAATTTAAATTAAGTCATTAAGAATTGTATTATATATACCGTAGCAACTACAAACTACCTCACTTAATAAAAATAATTTGATTGATTTAAATTAGATTCCAATGGATTGAAGTTTTAATAGTTGTGTTAAGAAATAACGTGAAGAATCGTATTATCTTAACAAAACGAGAAAATACAAAACTTAACCTAATAATATGTAAACACGTACGTGAACAATGCGTCCAATAAAAACGAGTGAATTCACCCGTACGTCGTCGAAGCAACATCTTCGCAGCGCCTGAAGACTTACGAGGACGCCCGAGATAGTTGCTCACTGCACGGAACCTGTTTCTCTCGTTGCTCTCTGCTCCTCTGCTCCTGGCCGAGTGTTCGCAGGAGACGTACGCCCACCTACACGAGGCAAACAAACATAACAGTGCTGACATAATTGTGGGTCGACCACAGCCCAACTCCCGCCAGTTGGTTCTCAGCAGCGAACATGTTGTGTTTGTTTACCACTACTTCTCACATCCGCACCGCCCGGTTCCGGGCGAGCGACAACCACCAACCAACCTAGGGCAGGCCGCGCGTTTCTTGAGCGCCACCCATGCCCAGGAAACGCGCCAACAGCCCCAAACAGAGAATCGCGAGCTTCCTTCACGCTCCGCAGGCTCGAGTGCCCCCCGCGCTCGCCAGCATCTAGCATTAGGGTGAGCACCGTTCACCCACGCCAAAACAGAAGGCGACCGCCCGTCGCCTCCGACAAATGCCCCCCCCCCCCCCCACCACCCCCGTGCGCCTTAAGTCGCGTCGCTAGGTTGAATTCATCTCATCATTCAGAGTGGAATTAATAAGCTTGCGTGAGATCGCCGGAGCCGTGACAGATATGCCGCATGCTTGCTGGCTTTTTTATTATGGTGAGAAATACAAAATGATGGATAGATAGTTTTTCAATTATATTATTATAGATATGAAATGTATGCCAACAGTTGTCTCACTGTAAACTTCCCGAGGTATGATAGTTCTGCCTTTTAATGACTATGGATATTAAATTTATGCTCACAGCAGTTCTGACTATGAACTTTCGGCGATGTGATGGTTCTACTTTTTAATTATTATGTTTATGAAGTTTATGCCTAAAGATGATTATGAGTTACAAAATTATTAGTTTTGAATGTATCACAAATGAGTGTCTGCCGAACGATTTTCTGCGAAATGAATTTTCTGCTAATCGTCGTTATGCAAAATAATATTATGACATAAAAAGTTCTGCTATAAAGCGTAGACCCAAAAAAAATTGCTACATAATTCCACGCCTATACAAAATTGTTTCGTCTTCAAAAGTATAAAACGTCAAACGGTACCTCTTAGATTAGATCAGATTAGATGGACTATAATACTTGACGTTACTAAATGTGTGATAGTGATAACTCCAAATTTGAGTTATCATATCTTTACAAGAACATTTATTTTTTCATGTGCGGAAACCCTAATGGGCTATCACCCCACCGAGGTTCGCGGTGAGGCGGTGTATGAAGACGTCCGGGCCTTTCTTTTTATTGGTGACAAAAGGCCTCACCTGTCACCCCCAGGCCAGCACTTATGCAGGATAGCAGTCACTCAGCGACCTCCGCCGCCTGCAGTACCTGGTCCCTTTTAAGGGCCTTTCGGATCAAGAGAGGGCCAGTTACTGTAGGTATTGGAAAGAGGACCTGGCACCCAGGCGTTGGTTTCTCGCGGAATAGATACAGGTGATCTCCTCCGCCAACCGGTATGAGAGGGTATCATGTTTCCTCTCGATCTAATCCTCCATAACGGATCTTACTTGCGCTATAATGGTGTGCTCGGCACTTGGTTGCCCAAGTCTTTCCCCGATCTCCTCAATGAGGAATCGGCAGTCCTCGTTGTCCTCGATGTGATTTCTCGAGTCCTACGATTCCGACCCAGTACGAGCCCCAGATACTTCATCGAGGTCTCGATGTCGATGCGAGTGCCTCCTATGAGACTGGATCCTTCAGGTGGCCACCTCCAAGGTTCATGAAAGAACAAAGCCTCAGATTTGTGCAGAGACACCCCAAGTCCCAGTCGCCAGTGCGCCTTACCGCACCCTGTCACGAGCGTATCATTCGCGAGACACCATCTAGCGCCTGCCCTTTAAAAGCGAGGGCACCACCTTCGGCGATAAAGTCTCAATTTAGAAGACGTCCGCCACACGAGGACGTCACCTCCTCGCCATAGGCCTTCGTGGCGAGTGGAGGAGAAAACCCGTCCACCTGAGACCAAACTCAGAGCGGCATGAGGCGTTGGAAGGCACACCAGCAACGGAGCGTGTAACGGCTGGTAGCGAGATATCCTCCAATGCAATGAGCGCCACACGCTACGTTGACCACTGAGTCCTGAGCCGAGTTCAAACTGCACTGCAATGGTGACAGGCGCGACTCATTTCACTCCTAACGATCGTCTGCTGGTACCTCCCTAAGCAGACGTGCCCAGAAAAGACCTGCGACAGTCGAAAGGAACGTGCTGCTGCCCTGCCCACTAGACGATGACCGGCTGGACAACCTCCACGGCGCCAAAGCCAGTATGTGAAGCCTCCTCCAAAATAGATATATGAACCTAAAACTTTGATTGTAAATTATTCTCCAAATACATAGATGGCGCTATCAGTGCTGTGTAGCTTCAGGCTTAACTAATTTTACAAGTACCTATAAATAATTGTAAATTGTTCTTCAAATGCATAGGTGGCGCTACTAGTGCTGTGTATAGCGTTAGGGTAAAGCAATTTTACAAGTACATTGTTAACAGAAAGTTAGACAAAATCTTAAACCATTTTAGCGACCTGCATGCGTTAATACTCGTAATTAAATTGTATCTCCAAAGTGTTGATATACGTTACTTCTAAGATGTAGACACTGCAAAGACTTCTTCTGGTGCGTTTAAAATCCAATCTTAATGTTAGAGTTTGTACTACCCCAGCTTACATGTGTACGTTGTAGCTCGTACACTTGAAGAATGTACCTACATAGGTCATTCGATTGATTCATCGAGACGATAATCAGGGGCCAGAAATTCTCAGAAACAATGGTAATTAACGTTTATGTATTTTTTTTAAATCTTATGAAGAGTTAAAGCCTGAGCCTTACTACCTAAGCGATACCTACCTAATGTTATTGCGTATTAAAATGATTCATGATTGATTCGCTTTAGCGAGACTTGCATTCCTACAAGTTTTCCTTATATTATTCTATAAGGTGAGTGTATGACCCGCAGTTAACCGTCATGGTCATAGAAAACAGCTAGCGAATCACGGTGTACCTAACATAATATTACACTACTACTATGTCTTCAGCGTTTGCAATTGCATATACGATAGCCTACATATCAGCCTTCGTTAGTAGTGGTTGGCAACAGGCTGATGATGATGATATCAGCAGAAACCTTATATGGTCATTAGCCACTGAGGAAACTTTCACATTAGTGAAAAAATTACTGTATAATAATTTTTCAAGTACCTCGTAAATGACTATGCTTTTTATTTCTGTAAATACAATTTTTAGACAGACCCTAGAGACATGTAAACTAAACATATCCTGCACTGTACTGTTACTGATAAGTACTGTTAAAATAACACGAGGAGACAAAAACTCATGTCTTCTTAAATCATGACATTTTATTTAAATAGTTAAGGACTAGATTGAAACATTAAGCGGTAATTCGCAATTCTCTTTCATATGCAAAAATATACATAGGTTTAAATTATACATCTCTCCATGCGTCAACTCCGGCGCGAATGGAGTAGTACTGGGCACAGAGCCAGGTAAACGGTGACAACGACCAAGGGGCGAGTCCAGGGTCTCTCGCCATCTTCTGTTCAACGTGATACATCAGGTTCCGCCGGTGCTTCGTGGCTTTGTGTAAGGGGCTTCACATTTTCTATAGTTTGAATAAGTCTATCTAAGCCGTATAGAAAGCCTTCTTCGTGGTTTCCTTGCTCCCATTTAGCACGATGATCTACCCGGAGACCATCGGGTACATTTCTCGTCTTCGCGAAGTCTATGAGCCACGCTCCGACGCGTTCATCATCATAAATGATGAATATACTGCTGCCGACGATTTCATGAGTTTTAAAGAAATCTGAACGCTCGAATAGATCTCTGATTTCGCGAAGTCTTGCAAGTATAGCACGACGGGCGCCTTCATTATTACCCAAGAATCTGGCCACTGTGGATGCGATTTGGTGAGGTTCACGAACTTTCTGCAGATCAGTGAGTGGCGGTTGTCCTGGCAGCTTCACAGCTTCTATGCGAAAACCTTGTTCGGCAGAAGCAGATTGTTGCTCACGGAATTGCATGTAGCGCAGTTTTGTAACAGCACGAGCAGCATGCTCTGAGTCAGTGGGAGCTTTGGGGTCTAAACGCACCATCTTCTCGTAGAGATCTGGACGATCACGGGCGTTGCTAACTTCATCTTCTAAGAAAGTACGTGTGCCCATCTTCACATCCATTACATGAGGATCTCGGAAGCCGTGCAACAAATCTTGTAGTTCGATGAAACGTTCACCACCATATTCCAGCTCGCGATAGTATCGCGGGATAGCAGAACGCATATGTGGACAGGCGGCTAGCGCTTCGTAAGCGTCACGCTCTGGATTATGTGCAGGGTGATCCCCGGCTGCACGACGCTTCCAGACGGTGCCAGGGCCAGCGGGTGCCAAAGAGCCCGGGTGGCCGGCTAGTTGAAACCATTCTGATGACCGAGACTTTAACAAAGCATCGGATGCGGGTGCTGATAATTCCAATGCATTCTGTAACCAAAAGAAAAATAGTTAAATTTAATGAAATTTGTTTGATTTCTGTTTGTAATATTTATTTGATTATTTAAATACATCCTAATGTATTAGTTATAACAATGTATTTCAACATGAAATTTAGAATACTTACAATAGCTAGGAACTTCAGTAATTCGGAGGGTTGGGAGGTGGGTGTTGCGGGGGCCGGTGTAGATTTAGGGGCTTCGGCGGAGGGCGCGGTGCGCCTCCAACGTTTAAACAGCGCACCCTCCTCCTTGTTGCGCCAGCGGTCCTCATCTTTAGTAGGCACTGCGACCTGAGGACAACAAAAACACACGTTTAAACACCACATCACTCACTTATAAACACTTAAAACGATTTCACTTTCACACAATTATAGCACTGAGCACATTGTGATGACGTACCGCTAAAATTTTATTGGCGGCATAGAGTAGTCCGCCGGGGCCGAGGCGACTCAGCATGGATTGGCGGGAAACACTGTTCATCTTGCTAGTGACAGTCATGGCGTACGAGTACAGGCGCAAATACGAATGAGCAATGATAACAATTAGAGCTCAAAGAGCGAGTGAGCGAACGTAAGCTAACGGCTGCTGCTAGCCAGCGTGTGATGTAAGTGGGAGGGACGCTCGCGGTTTTATAGAGACCTCGGCTTTCTCGTGACGTAGACACCGCAGCCCGCTCACCGCACCGCACGCACGCCTCGGCCCCTTAGTTTACCTAGCCCCTCTGTTTTTACGACACCTAAGGTGCATTGATTTATTGTTCATTGATATAGGTGCACGCTGTAGGGGCACGGATACAACTATAGCGTGCACTTTAATTAATGAGCATTTAATACTAGATACTTATTTCAGTAAGTAATTGAGTCCTAGTCGATAGTCTAGAAGGCTCTTCAAGAGATTAAATTGTTACAAAAGATAGAGCTTGTAAGAGATATTAGTTTCTTAATACTATTCACGCTAAAATGTGATAGTGCTTCAGTGACTGCATTTATCATGTTGCTACGGCCGGAATTTCTAATTATGTACCTGTGTGTAAAGTGCCTACGTAGGTAATTCAGTAAAATTTTAGTTGCATTTTATACGTTTTTATTTAAATACATTAAAAAACTAAACTGAATGGCAATTGGGGCCAACCTTTTCAGAGAAATCACAATTATATGCTCACTAAGAAATGTGCCAAACTCTAAAAGTAATTAATAAACTGATTCTTGTACCCGCCATGCTTTTTAGACTATAAATAGTTATTTAAGTCTACTTTCTCAGCCAGTAACGCGGTTATCTACCGTATGTGATGATTTTAACTATTGTACAATTTAAAATTTTTTGCAGTCACCACAGTTGTGGTTTATTGGTAAGTTTACCTTTTCGAAAGGTATAATGTTACCAATGATATATAAACAAATATGTCATTGAATGTTACTGGAAAAATAATCTCATCTGTTGGTGCTGGAGTTAGCAGTTTTTACCCACATTAAAGGCTTAACTGTTTTTAAACGACAAAATACCTACTTAATAATTTTGTCATATAAGACGAGTGTCACTTGAAAGTCATGTTTAATAGGTTTTATGTCTATTTAAAGCTTTAAGTAATTCTACCTTTAGGCAGATACTTTAAAAATATTTTAATTTGTACTTTTAATTTGTAAGATATCAAATTTATTACGTAAAAAAGAGAAGAATGATATCCTTTGCCTATCGAATTACGTAATTAATACATGCATAATAAATTCTGTGATTATTTTATGACAACTTCGGTTTTGCTGTCTCCCTTCCTGTAAGAATTGTAACCTTTTTAGGCTTTTTTTGGAATTGGCTAGGAGTAGGTGTTTAGATCGTAGACGTCAACAAAAACACTAATTAAAATTACTAAATGTATTAAAACGAAGTACTTTAGTTGAAATACATTTAGATTATACTGTTCGAGACAGAATTGGATACGTAAAACACTATGTAAGAGTGTTTTATAAAATTGATAAATACTTAGTAGGTATCAATAAACATATAACTTAGCTGTATTTTAAACAACTATTGATTTAAACTATTCTATTGACGTACATATATATAATTTGTAATAATAATTAGTTCGATTAGAAGTGTTCTAGTTTAAGCTTGTTTAAGTATATTTAGGTAGGTAAGTATATTTATCCTTTAAAACAGTAGGGATATTCGCTGATGATTTTGATGATTTTCTTAGACAAAAACTTATTGAAACAGACAAAATATGAAAATAAAAGATGATTGATGACTTATATGTATACTTTTGAACATACCTACGATAAAAAATAAAACATTTCAAATAAAATATAAACGCAAAAATTATTTCACCAAGTTCTTAATATCTATGAAAATTTAAGTCGAAGTTTTGAAGAGTTGGAAGTAAATCAGATTACTAAAACAGTGGGTATAACCCCAAAGAAAAGTCGTGGTTGTGAAAAATAATGCTAAAACTATGACGTAAACTTGAGTCTCCCAAGTGTGACGCAGAGGGAAGGAAGACGCGTAATTCAGAACAAACAACTGTGACGAGCTGACGAGTGCGATCCAGGCAGGCACGACCACCAAACACGCTTCAACGCGGACGGCTAAGTAGAACGCTAGCCGTGACGTCACTAACTTGTATTACTTATTAATGTTATTGCGCATAATACTAATGTAATGGCATTCCAGGCAATTTATTAGTTATCGTTATTAAGTTACCCATTTGAGTTTGGGAAAACATTAATGTATAATTTTAGATTTAAATTTTCAAAAGCCTGTTACAAAAATCGCCAGAAATTTGTGTTAGCTCAAGTTATCAATAATCAAGGACGAAATATACATAAATATAAATTCTATTATCGCAAGGTTTAATATAAGTAGAACTGTTATATGTTACTAACAAACACGAATTAATAAAACCTTATATGAAAAGGTCATCATTATTTGTCATAACTAATTTGACATTCAATAAAATTGTTGTTGGTTAAATCGTAAAAAATATATTTAAAACCCATATGAAAATATATGTCGCTTCACGACAGCCTACATGACACGAAGCCCTCAAATTAAAAGTTCATATTAAAATACTTCTAACAATGTTGTAGATACATTCTAATTATATACGTCTTCCCACTAAGTCGATTTAAACTTAATTGTTCTTATTATAACAAGATTATTTTATGACGTCACGTTTAAGGTACGTACGGATATCAGTTGTTAGTTACGGTTTCAAACTTCCATAATGTTTAGACGGAAACAATGACAAAAACTAAGTGCGATAAACATTATACAAGAGATCAAAGACCCAGTCTTATATTATATCTATAGGTCATTATTTATGTGACATATAAATAATCTAAGGACTCCAGTGTTGAACGGTTGACACTTGAAACAAAAGGTGAAGTAAGTAATAGGTCGTCTCACTCTATAGCTTATATGAACAAAAAGTATACTGTGTTAAACATTGCCTGTTGGAAGTATTTTAGTTTGAACCCTAGATCTTAAAGGTAATTGAAGAATATGGAAAGAAGTTTTGGATATGAATTACTATAAATGGAATACAAAATGACGTTATCAAACCTTCTATTGTAAAACGATTATAACAAATATTTTGTTGTCCTGTTTCATATTCATTTTTAGTTGTTTTGTAGAGGTGCTGTGATGTCAACAAATCCATTGTTAATGTTGTCGACATCCTTTATTAGTGCCACCCTAGTGCACAAATTTATCATGTAGGTATATAAGTGATTATCCTGTCTGTCATAATCAAGCTGTGCAATGGATCTTCATTAATCAATACCGTTACACATGAACTTGTTGATATAATTCAAAGTACAACTACAAAAATCGACCAACGACATATTTATAATCAACGTAGCTACGTTTTTAAATCCTATTTTCAATCTATGAAACCTTTAAAAATCATGTCGGTAGTGTTTTTTTTTGTAAACATGGTAACGCCGGCATTTTGTTATGTGTTTATTTAGAAATTAATGTCGTTAAAATGTAGGTACTATAATACTATAACGTAGTAGAAACACGGTATTCTTATAATATCGCTACGATATGAATACATTCGAAATAGACCTTTACAATAAAAAACGAAATCAAGGAGGTAATAAATCTATAGAAGCCAAAGAATTTAGAGAAAGTGTGGGATATCGAAATACATGTAATCTTTAAATTGGGTCAAAGAAAAGGACGGCCCAGGCATTAAAACTAATCTCGAACTGGTTTCTACAATTATCATGTAAGGATTTATTCCCAGCAGTTTTTAATTAGGGAAGTAAGTATTAGTAATTATTGATCCCAAAATACTGCTGCTACTGCTATGAATAAATTGAAAAAATAATGCCTGGAGTAAGAAATCTGCGGGACTCAGAAATGAATGAAAAAGTCTACCAGAATGCGAGGCGAAGTTGCGGTCAAAAGTTATTTTCAGCAATAAACTTGTAGATTGTATTATAATCCTTTAATATCACATCTCAAGTAGCATTATGTTAAGGTAAATATTAGTATGTTAACATTTATTATAATATGGCCTGTTAATTAATTATACTTCATATCTACCTTTGCAATTAGGTCAAAACCTTATCTGAAGTGGTGGAATTGGTTTTGTACGTCAAGCAAATCAATCTGTTACCTTAACTGTTATTGTGATTTATTTTTATTAATTGTTTTAATTAAATTTATTATACTATGTAATGGTCACTTCAGTAGTGAGTGAATTTTGCAACTACCTGACCCGTCGTCAACAATCAATTGTTTTGTCAAAAGTTATTGGACAGTGGATTTTTGGGACCCAGTAACAAAATCTATAAATTTTCTCTTTGTAAATACCTCTCTTGGACTTCAACAAATACTTAATTAATAATACACAAATTTTCTGAATTAGTGAGGCTGAATTGATTGTTTTAGGTATTCATTTAATTTATTAGGACTTACTGTTATCATTACCTTAAGCTATTTAAAGCCTTTTCACATTTTAAGTAGTGTTTGTAGTTGGTCAGAAACGCAATATGCGTATTCAAAGTCGACATCGTTGGCGGAGACATGACAAAAAAGTAATTATTATGTCGTTTGAACTAATTGATCAAATACCTAATTAAGTAGGTAAAATAATTTTATACTGTGTCGTTTACTACATGCTACTGAATCTTGAAATAAGGTAAACCTAATCTAATCTTAATCAAATGTTGAAGAAATTAAAGATTTATTAAGGAGTGTTACAAAATAGTCGCTTTCTTTTAATATATATAGACTTGTCTATTCTTTTGGTGTTAATGAGTCTACCATTGTATGCCCATGTGAGGCT